GGCCCACCCCCAGACGGACTCTCCCCCCCCCCCCCCCGACCTATATATATCTGGATACATCTCTCCATAGAATTATCCCATCTGCTTCCACAGAGGATAATCTCTGCTAATCACTCCACACCATTCTCTCCATTCAACTGTTACTGTGTATCCGGGCAAAGGATCCGTTCTTTATTAGATCCGCATCTTCACAGAGTTTACATTCGAGTCAGGGATCCGTACTTCAGTCCAAAGGAACCGGAATGTAGAGAGAGAATTCCACGAATAGGAGTGGAAATGTTCTAATAATTCAGTTGCAGTGCATGGAGAAGAGAGCTCCATAGGAGGAGACGCACCTATAGACTTCTTCCTTTTATAGAAGATCTCTCTCTCTCCAGATGTAGAAATATATCTAAGCAAAGAAATACCATATACAGCACCCGAGTCCAAGGAAGGAGACTTCTGATTATCCTCTTTCTGCTCCTCTACATACTTTGATGTCCCCTCCCCCCAGTTCTCCCCCAAACTCCCCCGTTCCACTCAGGTCTCATGAATGTTCATTGTGTAAAATAATAATGGATATTAAAGTGTAACTAAACCTCGACAAATCTTGTTTCTATTCCCTTACCCACACGCACTATAAATATGGTTGCCTCTTTATTGCTAAAGAATGATTTGAAGTATACGAGCTTTACGTTCTCTTTTTTTGGGGTGACTACACTTCCTTTACGTGGTGTCACTGTAGGTCTAAGGTTTGAGCCCAACTTGGCATGTTCTTGTAGGGAAATGCAATACTACAGGCCGATGCAGCCAATCAAATCTCCTCCAATCTGAATACTTTGACATTGCCCATTGCAAAAGGGAGGGATGAATGGGAGGGGCACATTGGAAGCATGAATGGGAGGCACACATTGGAAGTATGAATGGGAGGGCACACATTGGAAGCATGAATGGGAGGGGCACATTGGAAGTATGAATGGGAGGCGCACATTGGCAGCATGAATGGGAGGCGCACATTGGCAGCATGAATGGGAGGCGCACATTGGCAGCATGAATGGGAGGCGCACATTGGCAGCATGAATGGGAGGCGCACATTGGCAGCATGAATGGGAGGCGCACATTGGCAGCATGAATGGGAGGCGCACATTGGCAGCATGAATGGGAGGCGCACATTGGCAGCATGAATGGGAGGCGCACATTGGCAGCATGAATGGGAGGCGCACATTGGCAGCATGAATGGGAGGCGCACATTGGCAGCATGAATGGGAGGCGCACATTGGCAGCATGAATGGGAGGCGCACATTGGCAGCATGAATGGGAGGCGCACATTGGCAGCATGAATGGGAGGCGCACATTGGCAGCATGAATGGGAGGCGCACATTGGCAGCATGAATGGGAGGCGCACATTGGCAGCATGAATGGGAGGCGCACATTGGCAGCATGAATGGGAGGCGCACATTGGCAGCATGAATGGGAGGCGCACATTGGCAGCATGAATGGGAGGCGCACATTGGCAGCATGAATGGGAGGCGCACATTGGCAGCATGAATGGGAGGCGCACATTGGCAGCATGAATGGGAGGCGCACATTGGCAGCATGAATGGGAGGCGCACATTGGCAGCATGAATGGGAGGCGCACATTGGCAGCATGAATGGGAGGCGCACATTGGCAGCATGAATGGGAGGCGCACATTGGCAGCATGAATGGGAGGCGCACATTGGCAGCATGAATGGGAGGCGCACATTGGCAGCATGAATGGGAGGCGCACATTGGCAGCATGAATGGGAGGCGCACATTGGCAGCATGAATGGGAGGCGCACATTGGCAGCATGAATGGGAGGCGCACATTGGCAGCATGAATGGGAGGCGCACATTGGCAGCATGAATGGGAGGCGCACATTGGCAGCATGAATGGGAGGCGCACATTGGCAGCATGAATGGGAGGCGCACATTGGCAGCATGAATGGGAGGCGCACATTGGCAGCATGAATGGGAGGCGCACATTGGCAGCATGAATGGGAGGCGCACATTGGCAGCATGAATGGGAGGCGCACATTGGCAGCATGAATGGGAGGCGCACATTGGCAGCATGAATGGGAGGCGCACATTGGCAGCATGAATGGGAGGCGCACATTGGCAGCATGAATGGGAGGCGCACATTGGCAGCATGAATGGGAGGCGCACATTGGCAGCATGAATGGGAGGCGCACATTGGCAGCATGAATGGGAGGCGCACATTGGCAGCATGAATGGGAGGCGCACATTGGCAGCATGAATGGGAGGCGCACATTGGCAGCATGAATGGGAGGCGCACATTGGCAGCATGAATGGGAGGCGCACATTGGCAGCATGAATGGGAGGCGCACATTGGCAGCATGAATGGGAGGCGCACATTGGCAGCATGAATGGGAGGCGCACATTGGAAGCATGAATGGGGGGGACACATTGGAAGCATGAATGGGAGAGCACATTGGAAGCATGAATGGGAGGGCACATTGGCAGCATGAATGGGAGGGCACATTGGAAGTATGAATGGGAGGCGCACATTGGCAGCATGAATGGGAGGCGCACATTGGCAGCATGAATGGGAGGCGCACATTGGCAGCATGAATGGGAGGATTGTCATATTGTGGGACAGCCAATGGGAGGCACTGTATTGTATGTACAGTACAGCAGCCAATCACTGGGCTTCTCTCAGCCAGTGGTGCATGCTGGGATAGGGGACATATACTGGTGGGATCTGCCATGTGCTCAGACTAGCCGGGACCAGCCATGGAATAGGGTTGGGTGCTGTTCAGCCTGCTCCCCAAGGCTAGGCCTGAGGCCTGGGGGGTGGGCATGGGCTAGTGTGAGGGAAAGGTTTCCCTGGGGCCTCCAACATGGAAGAGGCCTGTGATGCAGTTAGAGGAAGAGACCCAGGACCAGTGCAGGCTCTTGAAGTACCCTGGGACTAAGGAGCATGGTCGGTGTCTTTCCTGCTTGAGGATCTGCATACGTCCTGCTTATCTGCTACATCAGTCGCCATCCGCTGTCTCCCAAGTGGATCTACACTGATATTCCCACAAGGCCTGGTGAGTCTGGAGCTCTTGTTGGTTACCCCTGGATACATAGAACCTCCCATTCCCTCTCTCTTCAGTAAAGTTCAATAAACCGTTTACTTAGCATTTCACTACTGGAGTGGACATCCGTTTATGGGCACCAGAAGAAGGGCGGTTAGTGCTAATGGGTGGGCAGCTGAAGAACTTACCCTAGACAGACTAGAAATTAACCGGGCATCCAGCGGCTCCTTCGGGGGTGAGCGCTACACATGACTGGGAGGCACACATTGGAAGCACATATAGGGGGTTGGTATACTCATTGCTGAATGCTGGCACAAGTAATCATGGAGTATGCAGTCTGAGGAGAGCATGGCATGTGGCCGTGATCACACATGCAATGCTCAGTCCTTAAGCTGGAAGTTCTGGACTGGCTCTTCCGAGGTTTGATGGGCATAGGGAGAAACGCCTCTAGCAAGCTCGGTCAGGGGAATGAATTGTTGTTACATGAGGGTTATGTGGAGCTTTTAGCAAAAGCAAATAAAGGACACGTCCATCCAAACATGATATTTTACCTAGAGCATAACCAGATGAGTTAGTCCTAGCTTCTCCAATACTATGGATACCGGGAGATTTCCCAGCTCTGGGGAAATGTTGAAAACACCTCATAAAGGGCACAGCTGGTTCGCCAACACCAGAGCTCGGTGCAGGGATGATGGAAGCCCCATATGATGGG